CTATTCAAGATTAGTAGCTCAATAATTAAAAGCAAACTCAAAATAATTGATGCTATACTTATAAATTTTTATAGTTTAGTAATTAAAATGAAAATATGATTAAATAATAATTAAACGTTTAATGAAAAGTAATATACGAATTTGAAAGTGATTACAATTGCATGCGTACTAATTAAAAATTTCGGTCATCTCTATAAAAGAGTACAATTAATTTGCTTCAATTACACTCGATTTTTATTAAATATACCAATGAGAATTGTTAGTAATTACAAACATTTAGAACTCGTTTTTATTAAAAGAATAACGTAGGGGAGGAAAAAAAGAAGAAGAGAAAAAGTGCAATTTGAGCGCTGAAATTATATTTGTAACCCAACTCAAAGTCCATCTCGAGATCTCTCCCCCGCCATATTTTCCTGCTTTGTCCGCTTCTTCAAACATCTCCGCCGTCGCCACTTTCCAGCAGCCAATTAAAAAGTTCCCAAAAGCAGCCGGTCGTATCCTCTTCTGGAAATGGCTGAATCTGAATCTGGAAACCCACTTTCCCTGTCTGAGGTACTCATACTTTAGTCTCATTTCTTCGAAACTAGTATTTGTAATAGTTTATTTTAATCCTTGTACAAATGGACAAGTTGGATATCCGTTGACTTTTCCGTTTATTGCAATTGATCGGGAATGTTTTGTTTTATAATTTTTTGTTTCTCTTAGAATTTTGTTCGATTGGACTGAAATGAACCGATCTGACCGAGTAGTTGTGGATATTATTAATGAAATTAGTACCAGCGTTTTGAATTTTTGATGCGGTGGTTTTGATTAAAATTTTGACCGTCTATGCTCGTTTATCAAATATATTTAAGATTCAACTTTCTTGAGAATCGTCATGATTCATGAACATGCGATCTTTTTTTTCTCTAAATAAATCTGCTCGTTGAAGTTACTCTTATCATTTGCCTTAAGATTTATTCTGTTTGAATTTGCTTTACACAGTGTTGGTGTTTTGAGGGACATCATTGATAAGAGTCAATGAAAACGTAATGTTTTGAGCAAAATTTTCATTGGGTTTTTCACTAGCTGCAAAGCTTGTAGAGTGAGGAATCAAGTAAAATTTCCGAGTAAAATTTTGGATGACTTGAGCATTCAAGCTTTTGACTAACTGAAACGAAATTCATTTATGACTATGTTGTTTGGAAATAATTTATGTCGATGTTATAGAATGATTAATTAGGATTTCTATCTTCTTTGAAGCTTGTTGGTCCTTGAACATTCCATTAATGCTTAAATTTAGCTAGGATGCAACCTTCTTTGCTATGCTTTGGTGCTGATAACTTCAATGAATTTACTACATGTCTTGCTTGTAATGCTATAGTGGGGGTATTTATTTGATCTGATCATCCTGGAAACCTATTTGAATGTTTGGACATTTAGCAATATGCACTGAAGGAGGAGAAAAAATCAGATGTGGCTACGAAACCAACAGAAGTGAAAGAGGTTGAAAATCCTGTGAATGCTGCTTCTGTGGAAGTTTTCAATGAGAAAGTGGAGACTCCTGCTGCTGCAGTTGAGGAAAGCACTGAGGACGCTTCTGCTCCTGTTGAAGAAAGCACTGAAGTCAATTCTACTGCTGAGAACAGTGGTGAAGATGCTCCAGCTGCAGCAGAGAACTCAGATGATGCTGAAGAAACACCAGAGATTAAGGTTGCCTTGCTGAAGTCTGAACTTTTTTATTAACTCAATCTTTGCTGCCTCCAGAATCTTTATGTGCATGTTAAACTATCACATCATTACATGTTAGATTGCTTCACTAACATATTTTGGTGATGTTTGATATGCAGCTTGAGACTGCCCCAGCAGATTTTCGCTTCCCAACTACAAACCAAACAAGGCATTGCTTCACACGATATATTGAGTACCACCGGTGAGCTATGGATTACTTTGTATCTTATGAAGGTACAAAGGTTTGTTTCTTTTAAAATGCTTCTTGATATATCTTCATCCTTTCTTATACAGTTGTGTAGCTGCAAAAGGAGAAGGTGCTTCAGAGTGTGACAAGTTTTCCAAGTATTATCGTGCCCTATGTCCTGGAGAATGGGTGTGTATTTTCTCCCAAGATCCATAATACACTTCTCTTCATCATAATGGTTTGGGGTATATTACTTGGATAGAGAAGTAGATACAGGTGTAGACCTATTTGGGTTAGCATCAAAGAACACGTTGAAGGATATTCCTTTATCAAGAAGTTAGGGTTCTATGGGAAAAATAAAGGGCTTAATTGAAAAGAATTTGGCTTGAAAATTGTGAAAGGACATGGTTGAGAGGAGATGATGAAGGGAATTATATTTGGATTTTTGACTACATCCAGGCCTTAGGGACCTATTCAGTCTACACTATTATTCCAGGCCTCTAAGATACAGTGATTACACAGGAAGCTAGCTTAAAATACATAATGATAGACTTAGGGGGAAGATATGGCTGTCAAAAGCTACCACAAACACTTAAGTTTACGTACGTTACTCAAAAGACAGACTTAAATGTCAAAATTTAGGCCATACAGGAAACGAGAAGTCCATTCTTCAAAGGCATCCAATTTTGAGCTGGCTTTTGAACTAAATCTTATAATTGATTCTTTGGTGGAACAAAAATTACTGAACTATAGAAGATTAAATCTTTTTCCTCACATCCTTATCTCAAAACTGGTCCGGTATTGGAGGTCCTCATTGTCAACTGATATGGAGATTTTTGTTAAAACTTACCATGAAGGAGCATGAAAATAAAAGGTAGTAAAAAGGAAAGAGACGGGAATGAAAATGTTTAGTATTGAATGCTCAATTCAATTTTTGATTAATACATTGTTTTTTGAGGGATTGGGAAAGTTTATGCTTTGATACATTCCTGCGGTTTCAGTTTAAACTATTTGAATGAGTATAATGTTAATAAACTCAGCGGCTGAAAAGTGTAAAAGATGCCAGCTTGTATTAACCATTTGCTCTTCAATCTAACAATCACTCATTTCATTTGTGTTTCAGATCGACCGATGGAACGAGCAAAGAGAGAATGGCACTTTTCCGGGACCACTGTGATTTTCTTCTGTTATATCCCACCAAAGATGAATTTGTTAAATGAAAATCCCATTTTGAAAGGATGAGGTTATAAGAAATTCGGCATGTATTTTAGACTAATTAGATCGAGGGTGATACCTTTGATCATAAAAAGGAAGCTTTTACTCCTCTTTTCATGGTGAAGAACACGTTTCTACCAAGTGGAAAACCCTTGAAGTTATTTCTACTTTAACAACATTACGTTATATGGTGCCCCTTCCTTGAAAATTTATAATTGCCGAGGTTTCTATGTAGTTCAAGGTTTTAGAACATCAAATACCACTAAAAACACCTAAAAGAAAAAGCGAATAAATTCCCGCGAAAATTCCAGCTTAAGACACGACAAGGAAACGGGGAGACTAAAATAAAGTCGTAATCGAAAAAATTATCAAGTCCATAATAAATCGGTTAACATTTTAGGTTGAAAAGGAAAATATTATATTTTTCATAACAAATTAGGTAAATCGTATAACTATTCTAATTGTAATCTAAAATGTTACCATAAAAGCTTCATGTAACATTCTCGGTTAGTAATCGACGTTATTGCTAATTGTGTAATTTTCTAGAATAGACATAATAATATTTAAGTTTAAAATTTGTCATAATGAAATGTTTTTTATTATAATTAAAATTAAATCAATCATATAACTTTTTAAAATAAACATGCTAAAAATTAAACTTTATATTTCTCGTTGTTCAGCAGAACTACCGAAGAAAATGTAGGAAGTTTAAATTTCAAGAAATCAATGGTCTCACTTGAGGGTAACAAAAGTCGGTTTGGCTGGAGCTAACCAAAAACAAAAAAAAAACAAAAAATATTTAAAACGTTATACGATATAGAAAATAATTTAAATGGGATTATAATCAAATAAAATATGAGGCCGACCTTGAGAACTTAGTTAGTGGGTAGAGAAGGTCCAGTTGTGAGTAGGTTTAGGCTGAGCTGCCCAACATGGATTCTTTTCTTGCTTTAGACTATTTTACCAATACATAATGAAAGAGGAGGCGACGACCTCTGTCCTCTAGTTTGTTCCACCGTTATCCTTCTCTGTCAAACCGCTTATGTTGAACTGGAAAAATAACAATGACCAAGAACTGGAAACAAGTTCAGTTTCTCTAAATGTACTAAGAAAACATATTTTATATATTTAGGATGGACTGAGTATTTCCAAATTCTCTTATATGATGATCGGAACTTAGATGATTCGTATGTGGATGCATGGAATATGCACGACCTAGAAAATCAAGGTTGTGAGGATAATAAAAGCCTTCCTCGTTTTCCATATGACAACACATGCACAGACAGGCAAATGCATCAAAATAAAAACATGTATAAAATTTTAATTATAAGTTAACCAGTACAAATAATATTGATTAAGATAATATATAGAGAAATGTAGTAAATTATTGCTAATTTATATTTTCCATGATAGGTGGTTAAGCCATTTGACAAGGCGCACAAATCTTATAGACGTGACTGCTCAAACTCAAGACCTCAAGGGAGATCAACACTCTCTTTAACCACTTAGGCCACTTAATGGGTTCTCGTACGTATAATTAAATGACAGGTCATAGTAGTAGGTTTATCAAGCTTGAGATAAACCTATGATTAATGTGATAATGATAGGCTTACATCCACACATATAGAAAATTAAGCTGCATTAACATTTACGTCAAATGAATGGAACACAAAGATAATTTAAGTAGCCAAAAAAATGGTGGTTGAAGTTGTGTTTTTCGTTGGCTGGCTCGAGTTCTTTCACCACTATTTTGACCGAGATGGTGCCCCAACCTATACTTTTTTTAGTCAAGAATCGAGGTCCTCGTCGGAGGACATTTCCGACAAAAAGTGGGGTGAAGCAGCCTATAGGAAGCAGCCTAGGACTTAACACATTTGATGAAAGTGGGGTGAAGCAGCAGGCATATTATAAGTTAACAAAATTTATGCTGCTCTACATGGTTACCTGTAAATTAGATTTGTTTCATCTCTGCCTCAGAAGGCCAAAGAAAATAACACCAGAATTCAACCTTGTTTAGTTAATCGTTTCGAAGAGGAGCACACCATGAAGAGAGATCGATTTCAACAACTTCCATGGCATTTTTTAACCATTCGGGGACATCTCCTTTAGGAAACTACAAGACAAAGCAAACTTTCATATTCAGTTAAAATTACTCGACACACATGTTGCAAAGTTGGTGCAGATGGGATGGTATCTATGATGGAAAACCATGATCATGATGCTTGTCAACCAAGAAACCAAGCGAAAAAGAGATAACAAATGAATGAAAGTTTCAAATACCAGTTTCTGCAAAAAGTTGCATACGAACCTGTAAAAAAGATTAAGAAGAGTAAATTTTCTTATACTGCAAAGAAGGGAATGAGGAAGAAAATGAAAGTTGGAAAAAGCAAGAGGCAAACATACTCGGGAAACTTCCCCTGGATTATGGATGTGTGTAGATTTCGGCTAAGCTAAAATTGGCAAAGATATACTATCAATCATTAAAATAAACATGATACGAAAGCAACAAAGCATAAAAAATATAAACTTTAAGGTTCTACCTGCATCATATAGTATAAAATTATAAATTATGATATGATAAAGCTGAGATCCCATAGCATCCTTTGTTACAAGAGAATGAATGTAGGCCCTCGTATAGTTCTTGCATACCTATATCGGGCAGAGAGTTTAGTTTAGAAAAAACTAAATTCATATATTAACAATTTTATCTTGAAATATACCATACAAGCACATGTATGATCAATAGGGCGAGTATCCTCAGCCATCGCTTTGTTCTTGAGTCTAAGCACTCCCTGCATCAAGTGCTCAAATGACATCAGACTACTAAATTCATATTTTAAATAAAAATTGGGTGTAACTAATGCCCTTTAAATTTATAGGGGGATGGACTTATGAGATCGAACTTTTAACATTACAATACTATGTTACTCGAACTCGAGTGTTAGTGCTGGATAAGAATATGTGCCTAACACATACATCTTCCTTTTTTCACTTATTTGGAGGGTCCTTGGAGAATCATATCCCCTTATCCATGTCTGAAAATATGCTTGACATAAGTGTCGGACATTTGTGATTCAAGAAAAATAGAGATAGGTTGCAGATAAAGGATAAACAAAACATGCAAGGCACAAGTTATAGTAATGCATACAATGAGGAAAGACAAGTCATACAAGAAGGCAAACAGAAACAAAATTGAGAATATTAACTCTCAAAAAACTTTGTAAATATATCACCTCCGGGACAGGAGCAGTGCCAAAACGAGCAGTTCGAGTAGGATAAACACAGTCATACATGTCAGCACCCAAGGCACTACAGACTACAATATCCAGTGGATACCCTGCACCCTGAAATGAAGCAAGCACAAATATAATGCTTTACAGCAATCTAAATGGAGAAAAGAAAGTGCAATTCGTCAGAATCTAAGGATGTAGATTACAGTTATGAAACTCATTTCTACCAATGACGTATCGTGGTGTATCTTCAGGAAGTGCTGCAGTACACTGAGCTACAACACGCCAAAATGAATCTTTATCTTCACCGCCTGCAAGACCACCAATTTCATACCTGTCACACAAGTGAGCTTAAGTTAATTCAGCTTGTTGTTGAATCTTAGCAGGCAACTGGGTTTGAGAATAACAATGCTAGGAATCATAGAGATTTAGATATTGGAGTTGTATTTTTTTAAATAATCAATCGTTTTTATCTACTGCTAATAGTAAAACCAATTATTTTCTAGAGCTAGGAATTGATTTAGATATTGAAATGCAATATGGAAAATTCTATTGAAACTAGCTAAAGTATGAAACATCAAGATCTGAACATCTGCTGTCAAAGTATATATAAAGTAAACATAAAATGAGTAGGACTATACTCATCAGCTTAAATAATCAATTATTCTTTAGTCAACTCAAGCTTTTATTTTTTACTCCGAGAAAGCAAATTGGATCTTGAAATGTTACATGGAAAATGTTATCGCAACTTGCTAAACTATGAAACATCAAGATCTATTTACATGCTATAAAATATCTTCAAAGAAAACATAGCATGAGTTATTCCTTGATATAGAATGGCACATACCCCGATAAATTTCGATCTTCTAATCCTCGAACACAGATATCCCTGATAAGATCAAAGTGTCAAAAGGGTAAAAAAACCAAAGTATCATTAGTAAATGAAAAAAGCATGGTTGGAAGAATACCAGAGATTCGCCTTAGTACTGGATCTAAACCACCTTGTACTATACTAAACAATAAAAAATACGAGTTTATTTAAATAAAATATTTGATAATAAACGTCAATAATTCTTAGAGCATGTGGTTAAAGGCTCTCAGTTTACATTTCCTCTCTCCCTTTAAGTTTTAGGTTCAATGCCTATGAGTAAAATTACTCTTCCTCCTCCCCAAAATAAGAATTATTAAAAAAATAATTGACAATGAACCTTAAAACACTTCGGTAGACGTCATGCTCAAACCTCGAAACTTCTAACAATAACATTCATCCCTTTTAACTACTGTAAATCTGTAATTGCTTGATTCATATATTTATATATACATACCTAAAATGTGTATATAATATAAATAGATATAAAAATACTGATAACTTTAAAATATAATGCCAGAAAAATCAAAATGAAAAGAATAAACCCATCTCACTGATCACATAATATCAACACAAAAATATTTTAAAATTAATCCTCAAATTTCACTAAACCCATCTCACTAATTTAGGTTTTGTTAAGCCCATTTCATTAAGGAGTTTAATCCTATATAAATATTTTAATTACCTGGTGCTTTGTTTTATACGTGGTCCAATCCTATTTCAGTTTTGTGATATCTATGTCAGTAGAATAGTATAATAGAACCTTTATTTTATTAGAAGAAAAGAAGAACCTAAAGCCTTTTTTTTTTTAAGTTTCCGATTGTTCCCATAAATAATAAATTGGACCAACGACGTGCAATCATAGCGGTAAGCAGAATTTTTGTTCATAAATATATTTGGAATTGCTTTGATCCATGGGAGTTTCCGACAGAAATAATAAATAAAAATAATGTTTTAAATATAACATGACACGCTTAAATTCTATTAATACGATAACTCTAATACGATTCATATTTTATTCTAGAAGGTATTGTTTTCATTTGGATCAACTACAAATTTAGTACTCTAACTATCATTTTTATTATATTTTGATTGTCAAATTATTTATTTAAAATTATACATGACGGTATATTTTGATTTTATTTTAATCACTTACAATTGAAAAATTAACAAAATTACTGATATAATATCTTTTTCAATGATATTTGACATTGTATTCTATTGACATATCACTATCAACATTAATTTTTTAACGATAAGTGATCAAAATAAAATTAAAATTAAATATGATTTTGAAAATAAAAATAATTAGATGAATAAAATCAAACAAAAGTAATAGATTTTTTTTAATTATATAAAACTCAGCCCAAGGCCTAAGCCTTCTATTTACAGCTCCTTTCCTCTCTCTTCTCCCTTTACCCTACTGCCGCTTTTTTTTGTTTCTTACTCTGTGTTTTGTTTCTTTTGCAATTCTACAATGGCGAAAACCGTAGCTTGCTTTGTTCTCTTCGCTCTAATCGTAAGATGCGCTCTCGGCCAAGCTCTAAGTTCCGCCCCAACCAAATCACCACGGTCTTCTTCTCCGACTCCAGCTCCCAAGTCTCCTACTTCTACACCAACCGCTTCGCCGCCATCAACAGCCACCACTCCTTCTTCAGCCCCAGAATCTTCTCCAACTTCCTCTCCACCGGCTCCCCCTATGGCTCCGGCTGGTTCTCCCACCATTGGTGCTTCTCCCACCGGTGCTCTCACTCCATCCTCCATCAGCGGGTCACCTGGACTATCTCCAACTTCTCCTCCGAATGCCGCCGCTTTGAATCGAATCACAACCACCGGATCCGCCGTTGCAGCTGTTTTTGCAGCTGTCGCTTTGTTCGCTTAGTTCTGACATTCGCGGATTATAGGATTTGAAATTGATGGATTTTTACTTTAGGCTCATTGTTAAATTATCATATTGAGTTCTAGTAGCATATTTCTTTTGTTTTATTTATTTTTAATTATAGTTTGACGGTGTTGATTTTACATCTATGTTATTCTGACCGTTGAGATTTGATTATAGTTGATCGTTTGTTATTATCATTAATTATCATTAATTATTGCATCGATAGAAGGCTAAAGTAAAAATTAAAAATTAAAAATATCATTAAAATATACAAATTTTATCTAAAAAATATCTTTGATAAGTACAAACATATATGTGTATTAGGTACGAATCAAATTAAACGAATAACAATGATATATGTGTATGTCATACTCTTTCACGAAGTTCTTTAAAGGAGTATTTTTCAATAATAATTGTTAACTCAATTTAAATCTTATTTAAAATTTTCACACTAATAATATTATTTTAGGTATTAATTCTGTTCACAATTATATTATCGAGTAATATCATGCATAATATAGTTTCGATAGGTAATAACGTTTTTATTTTCTTCACGTGACGAAGTGAACTCTCATTTTTTTTCTTTAAATTTGAAATTAAATTATATCATGATTCCTAAAACTTTTATTCTCACGGTTGCAGAAAATAAAAATTGATAGTATTTTGTGCTCTTCTATCACAACAAAAGAGTCATTGTATAGTATATATTTACAGATGTAATTTATTTAGTGAAAATCTAATTAAAGTAAGTTTTTTTTAAATTTTTTATTAAACAGATACATTACATTAACAGATACATTAAAGTAATTTATTTAGTGAAAATCTAATTAAAGTAAGTTTTTTTTTTAATTTTTTATTAAACAGATACATTACATTAACAAGGAAAATCTTTGACCACTCAACCAATTAATGAATTTACTATTAATGAACATAAAAGAAAATAGACTTCATACTTTCAATCCAATTACGATCTTACTCCATCCAATCAAATTGAGTCAGATCAAATTTGGGTCAAACTCTAATAATATTATTTATATATTAATTTTTAAGCACTTAAATATAATCTTTTAAATATACACTCATTCAATGATGGAAGACAATGTGTATACATACATATGTTATCATTGTCTGGCTCATACTCGCATAAATATACACTCCTGTGTTAATGATGACATGAAAGAGAAGTTGAATTGATTCTTTTAGTTGATTTTGCTGGCATAATATAAATTTTAGTCTTTTAATAGAAGTTCAAAAGTTTATTTATTCAAAAATTTGTTTAGGGTTCAAATAAAGTTATTAGTAAAATAAAAAAATATTAAAAATAATAAAAGGATAATTGTCCCCAATAATCCCCTTTGAACCATATTTCATACCGAGAAAAAACGAGATAAACCGTGTCTCGGTTGATCACTCCATGGCAAAGAAACTTGTAAACAAGTAACCAACAACACTTGATAAATGACTAGCAGGTGGCGAGGAAGCGAACGAGATTCGTGGCATGGGCACAATGTCCATTAGTGTTCGAGGCGATTGGATGAGCCGCAGTTGTTGTCATTTTCCAACACTTTAAATCCATAGTATGGCCACTAGGATATGGAATACTCGAGCTGGTAATCACTTGACTCCAATGGAAACTTGCCATCCTCAATGGTACACCATTAAACAAAATCCACAGTTTCCTTACACGATTGGAAACCTTGGCATGAATCCTGAACTCGATCAGACTCAGACTCGAATGCCATATATTAATATCAGAATATGTTTCGGACATGGATATTTCGAGAAATATATAACAGTCGAGAGTAACAATAGCATAGAATCTACACAATAGCAGTTGTTAATATGAGAATGGAAAGGATTAGAATTGAGCCGAAGAACACTCAATTTACACCAAGTGCCACCAAAAATAGCAGATCTCAAATGGCTAAAACATTCATGTACATATGTTGCTTACCTATGGAATAACAAACAATAACCTCTCTTTGCTCCGAGTATAATCAAATTCAACTTCAGTCGACGGCGTCTTGTTCCGAATCAGGGTTCAACTCGGCCGATTTATAGTTGGACTGTGAACCTTTGTCTGATTGAACATTCACGAATTGTCGACTACGTTGCACTCGAATCGGTCTTCCCATAAACATCTGCAATCACAAATTATCATTTTCTTGACTGAAAATACAAAAAAAAAACTAGAAATTTACAAAATAAGGAACTACCTTCCCTTGGAAAGCAGACAGACAGTGCTGCATCAGCTTCTTTCTTGGATTTGAAAGAGACAAAGGCATAGCCGGATGACTTTCTCGGATTATCATGAAATATAACTTCAGCAGAAACAACATTAGCACCCTCAGAACTGAAGAACTCTTTAAGGTGTTTAGCCCTCACTTCATATGAAAGATTCGCCACGAACAAGATGAATGCCGGCACCGGCTTCGGTTTCTCAGGTGGAGGAGCTTTCTTCTGCTTAGGTTTAGCATAATTGAGCCTTAAAGTACGACCCTCGAATTCCTATATCAGTTTCAAGGAAAGAAATCAATTATCTTTCTTGTTAAATAATGTCAAAACATGGATGGACTGAGAGGGATATTGGAGGGTGCAGTTGCATTTCAGATAGTTTAGGTATTTTCTACCGATGATTTAATTCGCATCCCCTGAAATTTTGTAATTTTGTACCCTCTAAATTTCTAATAACTTTCTAAGTTCAAAATCCTGACATAAAATCTTATGCTCATCCTAGCGTCAAAGTATACTATCAACCATGACTTAGTCAGGGGAAATTGCCTCATACACACACTGAATTCATCAAGGGTTTGCTAATGAGTGCCTTAAGAGCACTTGTGAAACTAGTATATTAAGCAAATATCTCTACTAAATGTGTTGAAAATCAATAGGTGGAGATGATTGAATAAATAATTCAGCTAAACTATATTGGACCACCTAATTTCTGGATGAACTGAAGGGAAGACTGGGGCAAACGCCTTCTAAAAATTTTATAAATTTCAAATAATCATAATCGATTTTCACTACCCATAATTTTATAAGTTCATTCCTCCTAAGGTTTTTAAAATTCGCCTCTGACATAATATCCTGCATCCCTCCCAGAATTCACGAGTAATATAAGAGAACAATCAAAGGCAATAAATATGCTTACATATGACTCAATATTATTGAGGGCCGCGAGAGCCTCCTCAGGCGAAGCCATGGAAACAAATGCCAAACCCCTATTTCTGGTCTTGTTATGCATAGAAAGCTGAACCCCCCCGCCCAAAAAAAAACATTTTCACATCAATACATGAACCACGAATCAAAACAAGAAAGCAAGGCAAACCCAAGAGAGATAGAAAAAACTCAACATCTACGACAGTGTCATATTTCTCGAACAAAGAACGAATGTCTTCGATGGTACAACTCCAAGGCACGTTCTGGGCAATCAACCTAGTTTTCGAAAACTCTTGTTCTACTTTATCTTGTAAATCCGGGTGTTGGGTAGTGGCAGAGAAATGGAGGACGAAACTGGTAAATGGTGTAGCTTTGAAGCGAAGATTAGTGGTGAGAGGAGAGAATGGATGAAGAAAAGAAGCGGAAGAGATGTTGGGAAAGTGGGTTTGAGGTTTATGCTTGAGAGAGAAGAGAGGAGATTGGTGGGGAAGTGGAAGCAGAGCCACGGTGAGATTAGTTCAGCTCCGGTAGGGGTTGCAACAATGATTTGGTTTGCTTGAGGTTTTTCATTTGAGAAAATCATCTCAGTGACCAAAAAAAAGTTATAATATACGATTTTAACCAATTTTTTTTGGATTTGTCAAAATGACCAACAAAATCGCAACGCGAAATAAAAATCGCAACGCGATCCCCAGAATCGCAAATCAGTTTCCAAAATCGCAACGCGATTCTTGAAAATCGCAATGCGATAGTACAAATTCGCATTGCGATTTTCCAAAATCGCAACGCGAATATTAAAATCGCAACGCGAACACATAAATCGCAACGCGTATCCGTAAATCGCAACGTATATCCGTAAATCGCAACGCGTATGGGTAAATCGCAATGCGTATCCGTATATCGCAACGCGTATCCGTAAATCGCAACGATAATCCGTAAATCGCAACGAGAATCTGTAAATCGCAACGATAATCCGTAAATCGCAACGAGAATCTGTAAATCACAACACTGAAATTTTGGGTATATAACACTGAAATCATAAACTAAATCCCTAAATCGCAACTCATTCCATCTCCATCTATCACTCTCTCCGGCGACATCCGTTCCTATATCCAACGACATCCTTCCCAATCCGGCAACAGGTTTTAGTTTCGCAGCTCGTCTGTTTAGTAAATTAATTTACAACCATGAAATCATCTAATGTTGATCATGTTTGGATAGATTTGTGTTTTGGAGGGTCATGGGATAATGTTCATGGTGTTTTACAATATATGCCTTTACCCATGAATCTTCAACTAAAATTGTCTTTACAAAAGTTAACTTATGAAACTCTAATGCTACGTGTTTCAAATAAATTGAATTTAGAGCCCCTAAGTGGATTTAGGCTATCTTATCAGAGAAATGGTAAAGTTTATTTGTTAACCGACAATGAAGATGTTGAACGATTCATTGCTTACATTAGTGTTTCACAAGATGATGTTACATTGTATGTTGTTGAACCTAGAAGTAGTATTGTTGGGTCAGTAGCGGGTAGTAATCAACTAAGTTTTTCTCAAAACCCACAACCTTTCTCTAATCCAAATCCCAATCAACTTTCAGCACCAAATTCCGGTTTTCGTATTGACCAGTTAGACGATGATGAGCCAACAGAAAAAATTGTGAGTACTAGTCAGTATTCGAAATTTGGTCTTGGTCAATATCCGGACTTTGATATTGGTCAATACACGAATTTTGATGATGTTTCAGAAGAAGAAACAGACCATGCGTGTAATGATATTGATATTGGTCAATACCCGAATTTTGATGATGAAACAGCCGTTGCCGAAGAATGTATTGTTGAT